AAAGACTGGGGAAATTGTGTTGTTCTCATTGTATTTATACCACACCTTTCCTTCCTCTTGCAAGGAATGCAGGGTGGCTTACAAGTTTTTCCTCTCTCTCCATTTTTTTCTTGAAACAACCCCGCAAAGTAGGTTAGCCTGAGAGTCCATGATTGGCTCAAAATCATTCAGTGGGATTCAGAGCTGAGCAGGGACTAGAAACCAGATTCCTAAGTCCCAGTCCAATATACCAGAATGGCTCTCTTATGGAAGGCAGTTTTAGCATATCCTGATCACAAGTTGCTTAGGGCATACATGCAGCTTACAAAGCCTAGGAAACAGCAAACTAAAGGGAAGCCACTATTATGTATGTGGTGCCTCCTTTGTGAGCTGAAGTTTGCTTACTGTGCATTGTATTTAACTAGCTTATTTTAAGTTTTGCACATGGTAGGCATGTCATGAGTGGAGCTAGGGGTCAGACTAGATGGCCTGGGAGGCTCTGTTTCTATGTTTCTATTTAATGTTAAATTTAGGAATTACATGGTTACACTTAAATTTATATACTTACATGGTTATAGTGATATTTTATAGTACAAGCCCCTTGCAAAGTCTGAAAGATTGCCAAATAAATACAATAAAGGACAACAAATGCAACAAGCATCAAAACATTTAAAGCTATAGGCAAAGCCCTTACACACTTCATCATGATTAAATCTCTTGCATGAATAATGTAAAGAGACAAAAGCACATGCCAGGGTTTCAAACTTTATGTTTCACTAACCTTCAACACATAGTTAAAATACGCTGCCCAATAAGTAATCCATCAAAAGGTATGAAAATAAAATAGCAAAAGGCAATTAATTACGGCCTTTCCAAACAGGGTGCTCTCCAGATGCTTCAGATTTCAGTTTCAAGATGGCCAGTGGTTTGCAATAGTAGAAACCGTAGCCCAAATCATACAGAAAGCATTGGATTGGCAAGACTGTTTAATGGACATCAAGGTAATAGCCATACCTCATACTTCATTATTGAATAATAGGCCTGAGTTTAACTCTAACACAATTTGTGTATTCCCTGCAATAAACAACCCCTAGGTTTGTTGCAAATATGAGTAACTCACTTAATAAATTCAGAAGAGATCAGGGTGAATGCCATCTGCTGCCAAAAACAACAACAGTGACTAAAACAAGAATAAACTGTAACCAGGAGCATCAAAGCAGTTCCTAGGAGATTATGGCCTTATCCTCAAAAATACCATAAGTTAATCCTGCATATTTTAGTATTTATTGCACTGGATTCACTCCATAAAATACTCTTTTCCAGGCTTCCAGCTACTAGGCTAACTCTGCCCCGCTCAAATACACTATAAGCTGTAGAAGCACAAGTAAGGCAATTCACTTTCATCACCTCCTTTGAGTTTTATGCGTTTCCCTTTTCCAAATAACACTCAACTTCTTATAGCTTCGTCTACCCATTGAGCATGCTTATTCCTAAATTATTATCTGGCCAGGGCAACTTCTTTTCTTTTCCTTCTTTTTTTTATAACTTTTCTTTTATAACTTCTTTTATATTGTTTATATTTTTTATTTATTTTATAGTATTAATTTTAATTTTATATTGTTATTTTTGTATTGTATTGTATTTTATTGTGTTGTAAGCCGCCCCGAGGCTTCGGCAAGGGGCGGCATAGAAATGTTCTAATAATAATAATAATAATAATAATAATAATAATAATAATAATAATACATCAGCTGGGTCAGGGTGTTTCTCCAGCTGCCATGTCTTGTTTTACTTCTACAAACCTCAGGGCTCACGTGAGCATGCTGTTCCTTCCTTCTTGTTTCTCACTGGTCTCATTTTGACAATATTTCTGTCAGGATGGAGAAGTTCTCTGTCAAAAAAAATTGAAATCTTGTCCCGCACTGCTCTGTCATCATGACTTATTAGGGTTGCTATTGTTCTGTTACAGGTCTTCAGTGAAATACTACATCTTACAAGTTCATCACCCGGTACAGCAAATTGTTAACATCTTTCTCTTCTTTGCATTGTTCCTGAAAACTTTCAGATCATTATCTAGAAAAAGCTGACAGTAAGCATGCATCCTTTATTTGATTTTACTTTTCTCTTGAATGAGCTTTTAAGGTATGCAACTAACCTCTGTTTTTAATAAGATGACAGATTTTGCTATCAACTAACAGGAAATTATTCCAGATTCTGGGGAAAATATTCTTTGCTCTCCCAATCCTCCTGACCTTTTTGTATTGAAATCTAATTTCCATTCTGCAAATGCTAATTGGTTTAGCTCTTAAGTGACATCTTATAACCAAGTTCTTTGCTGTCTTTTTTGTATTCTGATTGCTACTATATAAACACTTGAGGTTTCATAGCCCTCTAAGAACCACGTACAATACAAAGGACTTTATCTGTGATGTCCATGCCAAACTTTCATTTTTCTGATCACGTATACAATTAATCCTGCATTAAGAGCACCAAATATACCATGAATATACCACCAAATATAGCAAGAGCACCAACTATGTCCTAACCCTAAGTGATCACTTAGGTCATCCTTAGATGCTCTGTCTTCCACTGCAGGCGCCTCTGCCAAATGATGTTCATTTGTCACCAGAGAGACCGTTTTCTCAATGGTATTGTTCATTTGTAAAATGCTTTCTCCAGGGCATCTCAGCAGTGTTCCTGTTACCTTTTCAGTATCAAGGCCATACCTTACTTCTCCAAGCCTTTCAAAAAGAAGACTTTATTGATTTATTTAATGTTGCCTTTATCTGTTCCATGCCATTTTGCAATGGCATCCTGTATGCCTGTCTTTTATACAGCTGTTTTTATACAGTTTTATGGCTATCCCTGTCAAAAGCCACCTTACAGAATTGTATTATAAATATTGGTGAGCTGAAATTTTGTAAATGAATAAAATGAGTAACCTGAATATCTAGGGGTTGTGTTGTACTGCATCTTCATGTGATTTTTCCTTCCATTTATGAAAAGATGAGCGAAATACAAGGATTAGCTACAATCTGAAAATATAGTTGTGGAAGCCATTTAAAAATAGAGAACTGTTTCTCCCGTCTCAGCCACATTACTTTTAAGAAAAAAGAAGGCAACACATGATCAAACCTATTAAAATGTTTATGCATGAGATCAATACCTATTGCCCATTGTAGAGGATTTTAAGCCTTGACTTTAGTTATTGAAGTGTATAATAATTTATGCTGCTTATCAGTTGATGCTGTTTATAGAAAACTTAACTAGCTTTTAACCTGGGAAGGAACAGATTTAACTGAAGCAAAAACTCACTTCAGATTTACACAAAATCTTGGGATTAATAAAGACTTTAGATTCATTAATAAATCTTTTCTCCTCCTATTGAGGCAATGGTTTAAATTAAACTTTACCAACCCGTTTCATTTTAATCCCTTGAGCTGACTTCTCACACACTCCTGGTTTTAATTCAAATTGGCACCTCCCCCCTACCTGCAAGTTATAGCCAGAGGAGAAAACCAACCAAGAAATTATGAAAGTTAAACCAGTAACACTTTCAGGAAAAATCAAAAAGTTAAAACACAGAAATCACATCTGGTAAAGGCAAAGGACAATTTTTTTTGTTGAATTCTAGTAAAATTTTCAGATGTACCCCATGATATACATTTATGTGACTTTGCTATTATCCAAATTATTATTATTCAGATTGAAGAACAGTGAATGGAACATAATAACCACTAGTACTGTTCCGCAGACCCAGAAATAGTTCATACAGCAACGTAATACATTCTAACAGCCTCACTCATACTTGCACAAGAGACTGCAACTGCTGTTGCACATGCAAAGCTCCATCTTTAGATTTATTTTCACATTTCTCACACAATCTTCTAGTTTAAACTGATAAACAGCCCTTCCCTGAACAGTAAACTCCCTCTATGAGCACAGGGCAACTCTGGATCCAAGAGCAACTCTGAATCAATGAACACAGTGATTTAAATATGAAAATAATAAGCTTCACTGGTTCCTACTGCAATCAATATAACTTAGGTCATAATTAACATATCCCTCTGATTCCTAAATTCAACATCTAGTATGAATCCAACACAGAAGGATCTGTTGAGTGTTGCCCAGGAAATGAGCTGTCACTTGATATTAAGGAGATTTTTTTTCCTGCCCTAATGTCATATATAAGTCTGAAAAAGAACAACTAAAGAACACCTATACATTAATTTGTATGTAGTACTCTCTTCTGATGTCTATCAGAGGGTAAGGCTAGCCCAAACCTGTTACATGGAGAGAAACAGCACAATTCCACTCTTCAGTCATTCCAGGAAAAGGGCTACTATTAATTATACATTTGGGTCAAATACTCATTAGTAAGATAGCAAAAGGGATTGATATCTTTAAACTACTCTTCAAATACTCGAACATCCTTCTTCAAACCAGTGAGAGCACATAATCCTGCACACACAGACACACTATGAGAGAGAGAAAGCGAGCACTAAAAATGTTTAAAACTTCTACAAAACTGAGATCTATCTGCGATTGTTAATAAGAAGCTCTGATTTAAGTAGTCCTGATACATTTTAAAAAAAAAAACCACTGTGCAGGCTATGGTTGCATGTATAGATAATAAAGTATGATTACAAAGTAGTTAATGAGCTGAATATTATCATGACATCAATGTTACAAGGTGCCTCATCTAAAGTTCAAAGTACTTCACACTAATGGGCTGTGCTATTGCTGCATTTAGCTTCATAGCAAAACAAATTATTGTTTTGCTTTTCTCTAGCTCAATAAACATCTAGAAGTTGGGGTGAGGGAAAGATTATCCATGAGAATTATTGTTTATGGGTTACATAATGCTACAATTAAAGTAAAACATTGCAAACCACTTCAACACCCTAGTGGATACAAATATCCTTAGGGCACTATCTTATGCATGCTTTGGCAGAAAAAATGGCTTTTTATATCTAAAAATGCATAACAGTGGGACATGAATGACTTAATATCCCATATACCTTTGCTTGCATTCTCCACATGTTCAAGTTCATCTGGAAATTTTAAAATGTCCCGATAATTCTCTTCGCAAATTTCAGCCAGAAAATGCAACAGCGTTGTTTTTTGATCAGATGATTTTGTATCTCTAATCTGCAAATGTGAAGAAAAAAAGGAGGGAAATGTCTTATTTCTTAACAATTTCTCTTCTTGTTTCTCTTCTCTCCCCTCCCCTGCAAAGGAATAAATCTGCAATGTATATTCTTGGAACTGCTTCTAAATTTAAGTTAATTTAAAAAACCACCAAACGTAAAATGCAGTTTTAAGATATTGCCATCTTTCCAATTTTTCTTACATTTTAGAACATTCATTTCTTAGGTCTCTTTTTGTCTTCGGATGACAAATTCCTTAATCTATGGCTCTTTGTCACTAAAGTGCCAATCCTGTGCTCACTTACCTGGGAGTAAGACCCAGAAACCTAAATGGAACTTCCTTCTGAGCAAACATGTACAGATTTGCACTGTAAATGAGATAAAGACATGCTTTACAGAGGATTAGCTGCTCTGTTGTGTCTCTTGGGGGTCTGAACCACCACCATTCACTTTGCTTAAATTATCATGGATTTTGGTATGATGGGCAGGGATGAGACATACGTCTATCAATTTTTCCATTCCGTGCACAATTTGTTAAAGCAATATCAGTACTTCTCACCACTTGCCTACTTAAATGAAATAATAAGAAGCCCCAAATGATGTAATCTATCCTTTTAGCGGTGTGGCTTTAGCCCCTTGAGCATTTTGGTTTCCCCTTTCTGTACCTTTTCAGTTCTATAATACAGAAGTTAATTGTTAGCCTTTCGCAAAAAATAAAAATAAAAAATAAATTAAAATGGCTTGATGGGACAAGTCAATAATGACTACATTAAATTTTATATATTTCAATGGGAATAAAGCTTGACTAAGTCTGGATCTGCCCTAGTGCCAATAGCAGCAGAATGCATGGCAATGGCTTTTCTTTTATTATGTCAAGGCACGTATTTTAAGCAACTGAGAATTACATTTGCTGTTTTGTTTTTGCATTACAAGAAAATCTACAAAGAACATATAAAGGATGGTAGCATGATCATTAATCATCCTCAATGTTTGAAGTTTTTCTGGTGGTGCTTGCCTCACTTCAGCAGATAGAACGAATGCCCCCAAGTGACTTTCTAATGGATAGAGGACTGCTGCGAACATGCTGGCACCCAAAAGATGGCATTCTATGTTAGGGTTGTTTGGTCCCATGGCACAATTCTTATATCTCATTTCTTCTGTAAGCAATATAAGCTAGGTCACAGTCTAGCCTTATAATATAGCATACAGCCATTTCGGTTGATATAGAAAGGTGATTATAATATTCTGCTGAATGTATCTCCCTTGGGAAAAAGGAAACTGGGGATGAGGAGAGGGGAGGAAGAGAGAGAGAGAGAGAGAGAGAGAGAGAGAGAGAGAGAGAGAGAGAGAACTGTTTCTCCAAGCCATTTCTATCTAACACTGTAAGCAGCTCAAATGCCTTCAGTGGAATATTAGCTGGACAAGGAAACTTCCCATATGAAGCTAAGTGCTTGTATGACTCAATTCCACTGATGTTTACAGTAATTGTGACACAGACTGGGGGAGAGGCGAGTTTCCTGACTTCCTAATCGTGGTCTGTCCTGACTGCACTGACCAAACTTAGCTTTAAAGTACAGATTTCAATGTTTATTAGCATGCTTACAAGCTCAACTTTAGAGTTAATCAGGATTACCATTAATATCAGGAATGATGTAAAGATGTGCTATGGTTGGATGTGAAAAAGGAAAGGCAGGGTTGTGCACATTCAACGAAGAACACTGTGTATGAGACAACGGCTCACGTCTGGTTCCCAAAACACAATGGACCATTTACATCAGCACAAAAATATACTTGTCATTATTAGATGGTTTGATAATGTTCTGTAAGAAGTCAAACTTAGTGGCCTGTTCCAGATTATATCTCTCTACAAACATGTGTTGCATGCATGTGAAGAAGCATGAAGTGTTAGATTTAATAACTATGAAATCATAAATTGTGGAAGTGCTGAACAACATCCTAATCAGTACAGTGATGCAAAATTTTAGAAGCCAAGGGCAAGATTTTGAAAGCTTGACTGCTAATATGTTTTTTCTTCATTCAAACATTGCTTCTTTCTGTATCATATTTGGATAAATATTAACTGTTCAATGAATTAACAATCATGAATGCTTCAGTGCATATATCAAAACTACAGCTCCTGCTTTTCCAGTCTTGATACAGTACATGAATACTAACAGAGGTCTCCTTTATTTAGGCAAAATTTTCTGTGCTTTTCTGCCAAGGGTTGTTTACAAATCATTGCTTTCTCAAATAATCTCACATGCTACAATATAACATCTGGAAAGATAATACTTTTCTAAGGATTCGCAATCAACATAAAGACATTAGATTTGTAGTTAAAACTAGACAGGTATTATACATGCTTTCCCAGAAAATTTCTACAATTGCCACTGAACAATGGCCTTCCCTAACGTTCCACAACAATGGATTTCTAAGGCCAGGTCTGCACGAACAAGCAGTAACACAGAGGATGATTCCATTGCAAGTCAAGTGGCAAGTCATTGTTATAAAGTAGCTGGCCATACAGAACTAGGGCTTTCATCTCAAACCATTTCTTTATACAATTTAAGAAGAATTTTAAAAGGACAGATGGGGAGAAAGAAACAGATTTTTTATTTCTATTCTTTATATTTTTAAAGTTACTTTGAAACATAAGAATCATCATTTAAGCATTTCTGCAGACTACCACTAAGAATAAATAGCAGTTCTCTCCCTACAGAAAAGGGCACTTCGCCATGTGTGACTTATTTGTTCCAATGTTCTGTCTTTTCTATTGAGCACCTAGTCTGTAGCTTAATCTTATATCTTAATTTTACAGCCACATATTAATGGCACAATGTTAGTTTCATTTGACATTTAGATTCATGTGTCTATTTAAAAAAACACTGAATGCTTCTGCTGCAACTTCTTAATTAGCTTTATTAAAATTGTATTTGATGAGTAAAAACCAGCAACAGGTTGGTTCACACATCATGATAAGCTAACCTGAGAACAAGCCACTTTCAACCACTTGTCCGGCCCATAACCCGCAATGGTAGAAGCAAACTACTAGCCTTTTCCCAAGTTACTCCCTCCATGTATGCCAGGAGTCACTACAGCACAGCTCTTCATTTGTACAGAACCTGCACTGACATACAGACATGATACCTGTAGAGTGAAAGCAGGGCTTACTTTATTGTTTCAGATGAGGTGAATGAGCCCTGTATTTATTTCCTTTAAAACTTACAAGAACACTTCTTGTCTGCACCGCACACCTCCTTTCCTAGCACAACTATGCATGTAAGATGGACTTGCTTCAGGGCAAGTGCTCACCTCAGTTCAGGACCATGGTGATTCAGTGGAGTGGGAATTGAGTTTTCCTTCTGTTGTTTTTGTGCTACAAACACACATGCATGCATGCAATGGCTATGCAAGGGGGAAAATATACTTTATCAGCTATTCCCTGCACTGTGGATGGAATTTTGGCATGGAGACAAAAATACTGGAAGCATAAAGTCCCCTTTCCGAATCATCATGGTCGTGAATTGGGACTCGTGCTTACCCAGAGGGAAGTTCATCATGCGTGCATTCACAGCTGTGCCACCCCTGCTTACAAGGAGATAAAGCTGCTTGCTGTCAAATGAAGCACCAAGCTAGAGGAGGAGCTGCAACAGGAGAGCTTATTGTCAGGCTGTTTACAGGCTTTCGCTGAGAGCCTCTGTAGCTCATCCATGCAAGCTGCACAGGACCCATGATGCTAGGATTGGACCCTGAAAACCATCCATCCTGGACAAGGCGACAGCAATCCAGGGGTTCTCACTCTGTGTGATCACTCGCGATGGCTGATCAGCCATGATGGATTGCCTCATCGTGCAAACTGGGTCAACATAAGCACAGACAAAACCTGAACTAATATAGCTGTCTTTCCAAAAAAGAAAGAAAATGAAGGAAAAGTAAGATTTGATTTCAGTTCATGTCTCCAAATGACTGCCGAGACTTAGTGGTCTCTTCATAAGCAAGATCCACTGACCTTTATGCATGCATCCTATAAGTGGATAAAAGAATAGCTCAAACAGACTGTGATATATAGAGAGATGACAGTTATTATTGTTTAAAGACTATATATTGGAATTTTAACTTTCCTTTGTATAAACCATCTTGAGATTTTGTAATGAATTGATGGTTGGTGGAATATGCAGCATATAAATATTTTAAATAAATATATTTAAAACTTTAAATAAATAACTATACATTCCCCAAGGCAGCTTAGAATGAGAATAGCATAACAATCAAATAAAATATAAATTGAATTAAATATGCAGGAATACACCTGGTCCCCAGGTTAAGAATGAGTTCTGTTCCTGAGATCATCTTTAAGTCAACTTTGTATGTAAGTTGGATCACTAGTACAAAAAACATATAGAACACTTAAGAAACACTTCCATATACATTTAAAAAATCTTAAGCACAATGCAGTATTTTAATAATGCTAATAATACAGTAATAAAGTATCTACAGGCATTGAAAAGACAGACAGAGAGAGAGAGAATTTGCCTGTTGAACAACTAAGGCCTAATGTTTTCCCAATGACTGATCTTTCTCTGAATGCTTTATTATTTCCACTCTAGTTTTGATTGAGAATGTTTTTCTTTTCTTCAGTGCATCACTTGCACTTCGGAGGCATGGTTACAAACTAAATATAGTACAAAGTTACAGAAGGCAGTACTAACTTCATGTGATCTGAACATACTGGCTTGTATAAACCAATTTTTCATGAGCATGAAAAGCTACTGCAGTCTCACCACCACAGCAGAACTCGTTCCAACCTCATCACTCACCGCTTTCCCCCTCCTCCTTCCTTTCCCCTCCTTCCTTCCTATTCTTCCCTTCCTTCCACCTTACTTCCTCTCCCCCATTGCCACCTGAGGATGAGGCAGGATTTCTGAGTTTGCTCATTCATAAATAGGCGCTGTTCTTAACACAGACATTCACAACTGGGTACACAAAAGATTTAAATGGTAACTTTTCTTTCTTCGAAGCTTGCATTTGCAAATGATGTTTTAATCTGTTCCTACGTCCCCAGTAAGGTTAACTGATCCCTTTTTTATTTAAAATACAACACAAACATATAATGATTAATCATATTTCCATATCTTTTACAAGAGAAATAAGCAAACTCAGAAAAATATTCTGAGGCTTATTGTCTCCACCCTCATATCTTGATTCCACCACCGTTTGTGTAAAATATATTAAGCATTTTTTGCCAGTAATACAAAGCATATTTGACTGCTTGACCTAGAGACTATTGTATCATAAATCTATATTAGCCCAAGTCTGAAATGTTCTTAGAAGATTGTGTTAGTACTATAATAATGAATTTGCATACACTTTAGGCTTACCTTGCAAAGAAAGCTAATATTAAATCCCAATGACTGTGCATTTCGAGAACCAGAATTCATGTAGTTTCCAATTAGTAGCACAAGTTCCAACAGTCTACTAAAGCTTTCACTCTTCTTCAGCTCTTCACAGGCTATAGTCACTGCCATTATACCAGGTTTGATATTGTTTATATGCTCTTCAAATGTAAGCTTGAAAAGGATGCCATTAAGGCGAGGCCGTAACATTTTCACCGAACTCATCTGCAAGATAAAAGATACAGCTTAGAGATATATGCACAAAAGCATTTTTCATGCAAGACAGCATAAAGGCATTTTTATTATTTTAACTAAATATTATCATTCCATTCTATTATTATTAGCTATTCACAAAAATAAAAATAGGGAGATTTGACCATGAGACACATGGACAGCTGTAGACTGCACGGGAAATTGCCTGTCTGGTGAAAACATCACAGCTTTTAGATAGTGCTGAGGCGAAGTCAATGGTCATGGTCCATATTATCAGTGACAAAGACAGCTGTGAGGTCCTGAAAAGCACCTGTAGGTTGCTAGGTAGAAGGTTGAAATCCAGGAACACTGAGGTGGCTTTTTCTTGTATCTTATTTGTTCCACATGCAGGGCCAGCTAGACAGACACAGTTGAGGAATCTCAATGCATGGATAAGGCAGTAGAGGACTGATAAGGGATTCTAATTTATTATGGAAAGAAATCTGAAATGGGAAAAAATTTGGAACAAGCCAGACCTCTGTAAGAGGGCTAGGATGTACTTAAATCAAAATGGAACCATAATGTTGGCAACATAACATAAAACTGTGGCAGAGCAGCTTTGAAACTGAACCCTGGGGGTAAAGCCAACAGAAACTGGGAAGTATCCAACGTGGATTAAATAATCCCTAGGGGATGAAAATGGAATAGTTTCTAATTGCCTAAATAAAGGGGGATTAGTATAGGGTAAAACATGATAACCAGCCAAAGAGGCCTAAATGCCAAAACAGATGTTGCACATGCCAGAGGCATCTGAAGAGGGGGATTCTGTAGATCTCTGTATCCAAATGGCAGAAGTCTTGGAGTCAAAATACAAGGACAGGAGTGGTCACTACAGACACCTGGTAAAATGGAGAGAATCAGCGGGATAAAATCATCTCTGGATATAAGCTGTATAGGAATGACAGATAAGGGTATGCAGAGGAGGCTTTGCTTGACATGGCAAAGAGGGCAAGGAGTTCAGATACTTATTCAAGAATTGATAGACTTAAGAAGGGAGTCAAAGGAAGAAAGGCAGACATTACTGACCAAAGATTAAATTCCCATCCTTATGGACAAACTGAAATATAATAAGTCACCAGGCCTATATGGTACTCTTCCTAGAGTTTTTTTTTTTAAATTCAAATATTAAATTACTGAGCTTCTTACAAAAATATATAATATGATCCTATAATATGTGACTGCACTGCTAAACACTATGGATTGGCAGCAATGTAGTAGTCATTGGAGTAAACCAGTAATGCCACATAAAATAGAAATATTAAACGTTTCAAGTTTCACAATAGCATCATAGCCAAACTAAGCCATCTAAGCACTTAAACCAGTTGACTTGAAACTGGTGACAGTTGTCAGCTGCATTTCAGATGTTTTACATTTTGATTTTATGGTTCATTGCATAATGTGCTCAGCAATACAAACCACAACTTCACAATATACAAAGCTTTATCTGTATTATGAGGTCAGTCTCCATCAAAATGCTACCAAACAACTGTCATTATTTCAAGCTGAACCTAAACTGTATTAAAATATGGTGAAGGCAATGACAGCTTTTGAGAGCTGTTACAAATGCCTCATTTCCCTGTGGAGTTTCTGATGGATTCATGCTTGTGTTACTTATAATGTATCCTAACAGTCTTGCACTCCTCTCACCATCTAAAATAATCAAACCTCCCCCGTGCCCCAAACAGATGGTAGAGTCAGAAAACTAAGGGCTTTAATTTTTCAGTTAATATGAAATGTGAGTCAAGTGGAACTGTTTAAAGGGATGAATATAAAGCAGAGCACACAACCAGGCTGAGAAAACATAATATCAAAGGTTGTCTGAGACAAACAAGAGTTCTCTACATTTAAAAAGCTTGTTGCTAACATATATTCATAGCCACTGTTCAAGAGGTGGAGTATGTGTGATTGTTAAATTGTGGATCTGTGGACTACGCATTCCCACACATTTTCCTGATGAAAATCACCAAAATGTGTCAGGAACTGCTATTATGCCTATTGGTTTTGCTTGCTATATATTTTTTCATAATAAAGAATCTCAAAACAGCAATCGTAGCCTTTAAATCAATCAGATTGAGGAGACTGGAAACACTTTGCACTTGCAGTTATCAATAATATCCATGCAACTTTGCTTTTTCCCTTGGGATGGATTGATGTACTATTCACATCTTAGCCACTATAGCAAAAATTATGTGATTTTGAGAACCAAACCTATCAAAAGTTGCACATACACAGGTACACTTTATTATATAATGTATTGATGACTACTCTTGATGGCACAGTTTCTGCTAAATAAAATGCTAAATAGCACTGATCCAGTTAAGGGTATTTTCTTTGTTTTGTTTATCTGTTTGGAAATATAACGGCTGATTTGAAAGCATTATCACATGAAGCCTGTAACTGGCTTAAATGTATCTCAACACTGTTTAACAAAAACAGTTTTGTTTCAAGAATAACAGGTCAGTTTTTCATCTCTGAGACTTATAGCAGCCAACTGTGGCAGTAAAGAATGGTACCTCTCCATGTTATCCATCATTAAATTTCATGTCTTTTAGATGCAAAACTTCATTTGATCCTAGGATATGACTCCAAAAACTGTACTTCATTTGAATATATAATTCATCTTAATGCTTCATCTAAATGAAAATGTGATGCTCCAATTTTCATGCACAAATAAGAATATTAAGCTAATTAGTCTGTTATAATAAGGAACCTAATTACAAACTGTGACTTTTCTAAATGAATTTTAAGCATCTAATTCTGACCTTTATTAGGTTTGATGGGTATATTGATTATCCAATTAAAACCTTATATTAATAATTAACATACCTCATTTGTATATGCAAATAGGTATACACATTCTAAAAAGAAAAAAAAAACTTGAAATAGAAGACAGCCTTTCAATCATCCTTAACTTACTTCTTAACCTGTTCTTCTTAACAGAAATACCAAGATCATTATAAATAAGAGATCATTTAGCCAAATTATGTCTAGTTTCCTACCTTAATGGAGAGACCATAAACCATAAACTATCAGATTAAACAGAATTTTAGAGGCAAAATCTTCCAGTAGTGAAAATCTGTGTACAGACTGGATTTCTCCCCCTTACGGGGTTGCCTGTGATACACAGGAAATGTACATTGTAGATATACTAATGTACTTGGGGTATATAACCGATTTTGATGAATGTGCATGCTTCAGGAAGCTGCAATGTGCACAGTACACATATACTCACTAAAGTGCACACGTGTAAGCTTCACAGCAGACTGTGCATAATTTTTCTGCCATAGCTATGTGAACTGTGTTTGAAATGTAAAACACAGAAGAGACAAGGTCAACCTGCCCTTCACTCATCCCTACCGTCTTCACTCTACATCAGGTCCTCTGCTTTTTCTTTTTAAAAGAAGCCACTGGTTGTATAATGCCTACAGGTGTCTGCAACCTGTAGTTGGCTCCCAAATGCTGTTGGACTTTTTTTAGATCAAAAGCAGAACAGCTTCCGAAAGAGGGCAGAAAACTAATTGGTTGTGCTAAGATTAGTTTCTTATTTAAAGGAGGATACTTCTGCAGTTCCAATAGCATGAATACATTTTTAAAGACTGGGCCTAAACTATAGAACTCTATCTATAGAACACTGAAAAAAGCTTTTGATAGAAAGTTTCAGAGTTTTCTGAAAAGGGAAATTAGAATGAAATGTAGCACTAAGCAAACAGATTATATAGCAATACAAAGGCAGGGAAGGAGTCAAGATGGATGCTGAAAATAAAAAGCATCGCCCCAGGCAAAGCATTTAGTCCAAAATCACTTTACACTGAAGTCTGTGCTCAATTATCTACATCAGGTAAATCATTATTCAGTCCAGTGACATTACTTCTTATACTTGCAAAAATAACGGACTTAAATTTATTCCATTTTCTGAAGTATGGATGCAGCTATACAGAACTTTCCCCTCCTTGCAGAAAAACACCAACTGGTATAGAATTCAGTGTACATATTTAGGAACAAAATGATGGCTGGAACCCAGAAATAATTTCATTTCATATGATACTGAAGTGAAATATCATTTGAATAACTATAGTATCAAATACTTAAAATGTAGTTTTAAACAACCAAAAATTTCACCCAATGCTTTAGTTTTAAACAACCAACAATTTCACCCAATGCTTCGGTTTGAACTACAGGTTCAAACAATGAGCTATTAAATGGCTAAGAAATGAACTGCTGAAATAGACAAACACCAAATTCAAAGATTCTGTTCAATAGTTTACAAGATTTCTACTGAAAAATAGGGCTACTGTTTTCCAAGTAATAGAAATTTGAATAATTCTTATGTCACCATAAGTGGATATAAGTATTCTACCCAGGAAAACAGGAGTTTCTCACAAGTAACTGAAATGAAAGCAGAGCAGTTTCACTCAGATCATTTGACAGTCTAACTGGTTAATCCTGGAAGCCTTCAGCCATATACAAGCAGGCTAGGATCCAAGGGAAGTGAACAGAGTTCTTGCTGTCTTACCAGTCCCTCACCCCAGCTGCTGCTTGCAAATGGATGGATGTGTGCCCTTGCAACTTCCCCCAGAAAAACCTGACTAGAAATCTGAGCGAACTAGGCTTGACTCTGTGCGGGCCATGTCCACTAATTAAAAGTGGGGTAGTGGTACCCTAAGCAGTGATGGCTCCACAGGAAACAATGTGAGAAGAGGTAACACTTCAGGAGAAAGTGGCACTGAGACACTGTGTGCGGACCAGGGCCATCCTTCTAACACTCTGGCCAAGCTGGTTGTTCAGAGGCAGGGGTAGGGACAGAGCATGTGCCTGGAGGATAAGCAAGGGCCAAGTGAAGGGACCTGACCTAATCCAAGCAGTATTAGCTAGAGGGAGATACAGCACTGGACGGAGGACAAGCCAGGCAAAGGTAATGCGCCCACTGGGGTATTTGATGCAACCGCAGGGCAGAGGGCCAAGGAGAGGGGGGTGCAGAGGTTGATGAGAATTGTCTTCCCAGGCACCTTGTCCACCTGACTACTAGTCCGGAGTGTAAGCACCTTGAATAAGGCCTGTGGGACAGCCTGAGTATTCGGCTGGAGTATTCCCCACACCACAACCCACCAGTGTCCCTACCTGAGCTGACAGATACAGGTGAGCAGAAGAGACCCATTTGTCACGGTCATATCACTGCAAGGTGAATGTAAGACTGATAGCATCTTTTCCCATCTCCACTCAAGGAGACACTCCTTTAAAAAGGAGAGTGGGAGGGGAAGAGAAAGGGACAGCAAAGAAGAACACATTTTGCTTAGTAAATTAATTGCTGATTGAATGGCAGAGGGCAATTTCATTTATCACTTTTATTTTGTTAGTAACTCTGCCTCTGTAGTCAACTTCCATTCTCCGGACCATCTTGTAACTGGCTTCTTTCTCCCACTTTCTAAAGTGGAAAGAAAAAGGGCAGACTAAGATAAACTAAAAGGCTGGCCTGTGAAAGGTAGTCACTACAATATTAATAATTAATAATAATATTAATAGTATTGATTATATTAATATTAATATTATCAATAATATAATAATTATTAATAATAATATTAATAATATTATTAATAATTAATAATAAAGAAAGCTAACAAGGAATCAGGAAACAGATAAGATTTGCAAGACTTGCAAGAAGTTGCTACAGCTTCTTTTCTCTCTCTGATCATGTGAACCCCACCACTGTCCCCTACCCTTTTTAACCCTGGGACTGAAATCTGTTCTTGCAACCTGTGCTGGGTTTTGTCAGGGAAAGTTTCTGTTTCAGCAAAGGATCTGCTGAGAAAACAAAGCCATCAGCACTATTAGCACCTTGTGGAAGCTAGATCCAGTTAAGTATCTTAAATAATGCAAATTATTATTTGCAGGATTAATTTATATAACAGAACTTACCACAACTCCAAATTGTTCTGGCTCACAGAGATCATCATATTCATTCTTCAACTCTGCTAAGGCACTGAGCTCCTTCTGTTCAGGAAGGTACTTAACCAAATTCTAGTGAGAGGAACAAAAATTAGGAATATCTCTCTCCTGCTTTCAAATACTTTAAAAATCATACAGAAGACAACAAATAATGAAATACACAAGGTAATTTGTCCACCCAGCTTATATAAGGCAGCTTCTCTGACAGTATACAGGTGGTAACCAGGTTAAAAACTAGTCCCCTTCCTGAGAATGTCCTTTAGTCAAATTGGTATGTAAGTTGGATCACATGAGTAATCCAAATGTTTGTCTTAGTATATGTATGTATTTTTATTTTCTATGCATAAAAACACTTAATAAACACTTCCATGTTTGTTAAAACATCTTCAGCACAATACAGCATTGTAATAATAATAATAATAATAATAATAATAATAAGAAGAAGAAGAAGAAGAAGAAGTAGTAGTAACTATGGTAATGGAGAGGGAGACAGAGAGATCTGTATGTATGTGTGGGTATAGAGTATTGTAAAAGCAAATAAAAGAAACAGTACTTAAAATGTTTTAGAACATTCTTTCTAAATCAATTGCTGGGTTAAGCTAGGTCACTATCATTCAACACACCCCAATCATATCCCTTGGATGCCAGGAGTCATGAAAGACAAGTTCTTATTCTAATCTGAAATGACATTTTCTACATTTCTGATCTCATCCCATGGATCACGCTGGACTTTTCTACCATATTCCCAGACACACATGCAACTCTCTTGCTATTTTGGCTTTACATAACACCCGGCCTGAAGTCTTACAAAGCTTACTGATTGTTTCGTGATTGGTTGGTCCTAATAAAAGTATTAATTTATTGAGGAACAGGCACCCCAGCATTCCTGCATGGAGCAGAGGGCTGGACCTGATGGCTTGCTGGCCCCTTCTAAGTCTACAATTCTATGATTCCATAAAATATAGAACACAGGATAATATCGTCAGCCCTGTGCATATCTTTTTTTGTGTTTACAGTTAAATGACTGAATTCCATGTGGTCAATTTGCCTATCTAGAAAAATAAACACCATCATAGATATACTAAGATACTTGATAACAAGGTATTTTTATTAATGATGAATACTGAAGATACTCTTTTCTTTTTTCCAGCAGATGTTTACAAGCCAATTAGGTAAGAGCTTTTTTTAGAGGAACATGGTTGGGTAAACAACATTGACTGTCTTTAGAAATATCACGGAAATCATTCATGATTAGCCACTAGAACACAGCCTGAACACTGCATATTTATAAAGAATCAAATCCTTTGGTTAACATTAATTTAT